CGGCTAGTGACCTCCAGGAGGAGAGTCTTCTCTGTGGAGCGCCTTTCCTCTGGAATGAGCTGCCCCCGGACCTTCCGATGCGCCCTTAAAAGTTGGCTTTTCCAGCAAGCCAACCTCTCCTGAACAAAACAAGATAAATTATAGATTACTGTTAATTTTAATTTGAATTCTTTTTTTTTTAAAAAGCATCATTGTCAATTTTAATTGGGTTTGGGATATTCTATTTAATTTTTTTTAACTTTTGTATTATGTGTTTCTTTTAATGTTGTACGCCGCCCTGAGTCCTTGGGAGAAGGGCGGCATATAAATCTAATAAACCTAAACCTAACCCTAATCACTCCAAAGGCAAAATAATCTTCAGTTTCCACGAAACTCAACCAGGTTCTCTTTAGGCAAATCATAAACGTGATTTATTTATTACGTGGAGGGGAGGCAGTGACACGTCTATATCAACCACAATATATTTTGTTTGCATTCGCTAGATAGCAAAAAAAAATATTGAAAAGAAAGTTTGGGATCATCTTATTGATATAAAATGCCATTGGATTAAACTGCTCTTCTCATTTAACTGTCTGCATTTGATTAACTGGAGTGTTCATTATTGGGAGGGAATCTGGAGAGAACCAAAAAAATTGCAGCTGTGATTAAAACAAGGGAAAATGTTGTTCTTGGCCAGCTATTTGCTATTCCAAATTGCTCGTCAGTGATGTTAAGGTTAGAGAAATACAGCTGTTTTGCACATTCTGTTGTCACGTTTTTTGCCTGTTTTAAATAAAAAGATTCATTTTCGCTCACTGCCTGGGCCCTATGGAGATTCTCAGCCATCCAGGTCATGGTTTTCCCAAAGGTGCTTTTTCAAGAGGCAACAGGACTTTCTGGTTTTTCTTTGAAGATGTTCCACTTGTCATCCAAGAAGCTTCTTCAGCTCTGCCTGGATAGTGGGGAATGGAAGGATTCATATACTTCTTGTTCCTCCACAGGTGATATCTGTCAGCGTTTGCTGCCTCATATTAAATGCCCAACGCTAATTATACATGGTGAGAAAGACCCATTGGTACCCCGTTTTCATGCAGAATATCTCCACAAGCATATCCGAGGTTCACGGTAAGTCTCATACCCTTACTGGTTGGATGAGAATCTGATGTAATGAATATTTATCATTTTGTAAAACATTAACCGCCTCCCGCGTCTTCCTGCTTTCATTATAGGTGACTTCAGGTGCCATACATTTTTAAGGGTGCTGCAGAAATATACAAATATTTCCAAGATGGCTAAGGAATTAAAGAACCTTTCACATTAAGTTCACCTTACAGATTCCCTGAAGCACAAATCTCTTATTCTGCTTGAGAATGCAAATTGGGAGCCAGTTTGGTCTAGTGCTAGCCTAGATATTAGGAATCTGCAAGTTCTAGTCCTGTTTTAGGCATGAAAATCCGGTTGGACCAGTCGCTCTCTATCAGCCCAATTTGCCTTAACAGGGTTGTTGTTGCGGAGAAAATAGGAGGAGGAAGGAATATTGCAAGTTTGCAAGTTTAATAACATTTATATGCCGTAGGACTCCGGGCGGCTTACAGTACAGAATAAATTTTAAAAAAATAAAATAGAGGGAAAGAAAAGATAGATTTAAAAACAGCACACCATGCACTCCGTTCTAAATGGGGCTGAT